AAGTGCTGGCGGGGGTGTGGTGAAAAGGGAACTCTCTTACGCTGCTGGTGGGAATGTAAATTGGTCCAACCACTGTGGAGAACAATTTGGGGATTCCTCAAAAATCTACAAATAGAACTACCATATGATCCAGGAATCCCACTCCTTGGTATCTACCTGAAGGACAGAAGAATACTTAATCGAAAAAGTGCTTGCACATCGATGTTTATTGCAGCACTTTTCACGATTGCTAAGTCATGAAACAGCCGAAATGCCCATGAACTGATGAATGGTTAGAAAAACTGTGGCACATATACTCAATAGAATACTATTCGTCCATAAAAAAAAAACAACAAAACCCTTGCTTTTGAAAGGAAGTGGATAAATACAGAAGACTTACTGCTGAGTGAAGCAAGCCATGCTATGAAGGAGAGGCATTTTATGTCCCCACTTAATATATACCGAGTGTCTGCACTCTAAAAATAAAACAAAACAAAAATTTTGAAACCATACTGCTTCTGTTGTTATAGAGTTATAAAATTATAAGACATATTTTGAACATTATCTTTAGAATTCAGTATTTTGAAATTTTGAAAGTTGTTTATAAACTCAAGAACTATAGGGTATGAGCTAAAATTTTTTGATACGTAAAGTAAATGTTTGTGGAAAAATGTAAAAATAAATAAATGAAAGAAAAAGAAAAAAAAAGCATACTCAAACACCTGTGCAATTCAGTACAAAAATTACTAATATCAGAATACCACACTTTCATATATATTGCAGGAAGAAAAAGAATCACAGTTTACAAATTGAGGACTCAACATTCTAATAAACTTTACAACTGGGCACATCGAAATATGTTCTCATATAAAATATAAAAATCAAGCAATTATGATAATGAAATAATGTACTATCAAATATGAAATATGTAAAGTTATAAGAAATCATGCTTCCATTTTTCTGATATATAAGCATAAGTATGTTTTGAATTCTTTCATAACGATTATGCAATTGCAGACATTTTAACAGTAGAAACCACTTGAATTTCATCACTAGTAAAAGTTAATATATGTTCAGGTAAGAATGTACCAAGAAAAAATATTACTTTTCTTTTATGAAGGAATTACAAAAGCATATAAGTGTGTAAAACAAGCTCACTACCTCACTCTCTCTGTATCTCTCTGTAGTGAATCCATGGGCACGGTGGCAATAGGGGTCAGCAAGTGGCATGTTTGTTTAGATGCTGGACCAACCATGGTACAAGTCCCAGACCCAGTGACTCATTTTCTCACTTTCCCTCTCTCTGTCTCTATCTGGTAAGCACACATGCCCTACAACAAATTTTAAAAATAATAGTGATTGCTTTAAAAAAGAAAAAGAATAAACAAAGTAAGAAAAAAATGGTTTGTGATCCAGAAGAATATATTTCTGTGTTTGTGGGTACCAAACTTGGCTCTGAGACGGAATCCAGGAGTAGCTACTGACTCTAAAAATAGGAATAGGTACTGCTAGAAAACAATGTTATTGATTCTCACTAATTATTGTTTTAAGAATGATTTATTTAATTTTATTTATCATTATTATTTTTTGAATTTGCTAAAGGGCATGTACATTCACCAGAGAAGTAAAAGAAATACAAAGGGAAGTAAGAAAACAAGTTGTCAGGTTCGATACTCAAACTGCAGTCAGTCATTGGGAATCTTACATCATCACCATCATGCCACCTGATGGTCTCCACTCTAATTCATTGAGTATATACCAGGTTGCTGGAAAAGTCATGACATATTTTTCATTTATTTTTATGGAAAAATGCGACATGACTTTTATGACAACCCAATGTTATTGCCTCAGTTTTATAAAATAAATAAGTGTATAAAAAATTGAGAACTGAAGATAAACCCTACTTATTTTGTAAATAATAATAATGATAATTGAAACACAGCCATGCTTGTTAATTTCCATAAGCTCTGTGAAGGTTTTCCTGGTACATAATAATAGAGGTGAATATTTGCAACAGAGACCTTATAATGTATAAAGGCAAAAATATTACTAGCAACATAAAAAAATAAACAGATCATGCTTTCAGATGTATATAAGTGAATACATCAAAAATAATACTCCATTCTCCTACCATATACTTAAAATAAAAAATTCACATAAATTTATACATAGAAGCAATCAAATTACATTCAAGATTCAAATGTTTTATACTGAAATTATTTTCAATATCTACATAGGAGTGTTTATGATAATATTTACAGAAAAATCAAAATGTATAATGAGAAAATTCTGAACACAAAGTGACATGTTATATAGAAGAAAAAATCAATAGAAATTTGGTTAGAGGAAAGCTATTAAGTGATTTTTGTCTTAATATAGATAAGAAAATTATTTATTACTCTTGTGATGAACAAGTATGATAAGCCATGTAAATATAAGGTTTATCAAACAGAAAATTCAGGAGAAAGTAGAGAAGAGATCTGGAATAAATTCACATCCTTGGTAACATCATTAAGAGCCAAAAGATGGGCCACCCAAGATCCTCATGTGCTTAAGACCCAGTTTCAAATAAATTTGTTATTATCTACAGATGAAAAAAATTCTCCCAGTGTCATGAACAAGGACTCTTAATTTGGTGTATCTTGGTATTACCTCAGGAGCTTAATCTGTGCAAAATTAGACAAAAGTGACCATTAGCTTCAATATGACAATTAGTGAAATTGAATTGCTGGACCTTTGTTTTTTCACCAGATGCAAAGCAGTGTATCCAGTGCCCTTCTCAAGAGTATCCAAACAGTGAGAGAACTCACTGCATTCTCAAGTCTGTGACATTCCTGGCTTTTGAGGATGCTTTGGGGACAGCTATCACCTTCACAGCTCTGTGCTTGTTTGTTATCACAGCTATAGTTTTGGGGGTCTTTGTGAAGCACAGAGACACTCCCATTGTTAAGGCCAACAATCAGGCTCTCAGCTTTATTCTGCTCATCTCCCTCCTGCCATGCTTCCTCTGCTCCTTGCTCTTCATTGGCCATCCTAACACAGCCACCTGTGTTCTCCAACAAGTTGTATTTGGCCTTGTGTTCACTGTGGCTGTTTCCACTGTTTTGGCCAAAACCATGACTGTGATTCTGGCATTCAAGGCCATGAAACCTGGAAGAACAATGAGGTGCTTGCTGCTCTCAGGGGCTTCTAACTCTGTCATTCCCATTTGCTCCCTGATTCAAATGATTATCTGTGGAGTCTGGTTGGGAACTTCTACCCCTTTCATTGACATAGACTCACATTCTGAGCCCAGGAATCTCATCATTGTGTGCAAAAAGGGCTCAGTTACTGCTTTCTACTGTGTCCTGGGCTACCTGGGCTTCTTGGCTCTGGGGAGTTTCACTGTGGCTTTCCTGGCCAGGAACCTGCCTGACACATTCAATGAAGCCAAGTTTCTCACATTCAGCATGCTGGTGTTCTGCAGTGTCTGGGTCACATTTGTCCCCGTCTATCACAGCACCAAAGGGAAATTTATGGTGGCTGTGGAAGTCTTCTCCATTATAGTCTCCAGTGCAGGGCTTCTAGGCTGCATCTTTGCCCCGAAGTGCTACATTATTTTGATAAGACCGAAAGAGAACTCCTGGAAAGCTTTAAAAAATAGGAGGGGTTCCAAATGAAACAGGCATTCTAAGGTTTTATTTCATAAACCTGTATCACAATTTTATGGTTTTGAACAAAAAAATACACCCTGATTTAATATCCTTAGATGATAAAAAAACTGAAAATGACTGACTTCTTAAATTTTGTAAAACAGTCATTTGGTATATAAACCGTAAACAGGTATTAAACCTGCAACTATGAATGATATCTTAGATTAATGTGTAGTTTTACATTATGTGTATTGATTAATTGCTAAATTTTATTATTATTTATTGTATTCTCCTAGAAGGTTTTCCTTTTGTGTAGTCAAAAATAATGTCTTTCCATATCTGATTTATTGATTTATAGCTTTTTAAAAAAATGTATCTAATGTTTACTAAGTTTGTTGATGTTAAAAAAAAATAAAACTAGCTAGTGGTTACACTAGTTCTCTGTATGGTTTTTAATATCTCATATTTATATTTATTCTAATCTTTTTTAGATATATATTTTTTTTCTATAGGGAAGATGAACTCATAGTAGAGACAGAGAGACAGATAGTTAACAATCAGTCCTTAGGGGAAATGACTATGCTGCAATTTCATCTCCTCCATCCTTCTCTAGAGATTTTGGGCATGAATGTACATGCACCCAGTTTTAGGTTTAAGACATTGAGTCAAGTGGACCAGTAGATGGTGTAATGACTATGTCGCTGGACTTTCATGTAGTCAACCAAGGTTCGAGTCCTGGACCTGGTGGGTTAAACTCACACCAGGCACATGTGAGTGCATGCCCAAGATCTCAAGAAGAGAATAGAGGAGAAGGGATTGCAGAAATCCCCCAGGGAGAGATTTATCACTTTATGTCTCTCTATTTCTCTCTTTCTGGTGAGTGCATGTGCCCTATAGCAAATAACCTCTCAAAAATTAAAAAAAAAAAAAGACACTGAATCAAAAACTCACACCATGGTTGACTATGTGAAAGTCCAGTGACAAAACCATTATGCCATCAGTTGGTCCCCCATTCTAATCTGAATATCTTTGTTTGTGCTCGTTGGAATTTCTGCTTTCTGGAGTGTCTTGATATGTTAAATTGTGTTGATCTGACATCTCTCATATTTTTAATTTTTCCATTCCAGAAAATTTTATTATACCCTTTTCATAATTTAAATTTACAAACTAGCTAAACATTTGACCTAAATGTGTATAAACTGCCTAGAAATACAAACCAGAGACCAGCAGTTAGTGTAAGACTGTCTTTGTCTCTCTCTACCTCTGTCTCTGTCTCCTCTCATTTTTTTTTTTTGCTTTTTAGAATTTTTTAAGGCAAAGCATTTTTCTGCACTTTCTGGCCCCTCCTTCCCCTTTATTTTGTAAAAATAATTCCCTCTCCCCCCTTCCAACCCAGGAGAGGCAAAGGCAACAGGCCTTCTTGAAGACACAGCTTCATGGATTCTGCAAACTAGTCATTTTGGAGAAACAGAAATCAAGACTTCCTACTGATAATTCAGCCTCCATCACACAAAACTCACGTAGTAGGAAGACCCCTTCCAGGCCCAGGCTTCCTTTCTCTATACCTGTCTTTGTCTCTTTCTACCTCTGTCTCTGTCTCCTCTCATTTTTTAAAAAAATGTTTGCTTTTTAGAATTTTTTACTTTTTTTTTTTTTGAGAGATTTTTGCTATACGGCACGTGTGCTCACCAGACAGAGAGAGACATAGAGACAGAAAGTGAAAAACCACCCCCCAGAGGTAGTGGTCACACTGCAATCCCTTCTCCTCCATTCTCCTCTCTGCATCCTGGGTACACACACACACTCTCCCAGCGTGAGTTTTAAGCTACCGGGTCCAGGACATGAACCGCGGTCGACTACATGGGAGTCCAGTGACATACCCATTATGCTAACTGCTGGTTCCAGCTTTTTAGAAATTTTTTAAGGTAAAGCATTTTCTGCCCTTTCTGGCCCCTCCTTCCCCTTTATTTTGTAAAAATAATTCCCTTTCCCCCCTCCCAACCCAAGAGAGGCAAAGGCAACAGTTTTTATCTTCGTTTTTTCTTCTCTTTTTCTGTTTCTTGTTTGTTTTTTGCTGTTGTTGCTGTTGTTTCTCTCTTTCTGCTTCCTTTTCTGCATGTTCCTCAACGCTCAGATTGAACTTCCAAGTTTGAGAAAAAACTGACCATCAACCAGATGACTAGAAATTGTGGCAGGACCACAAGAAATATGGGAAAGCAAGAAAATACCTCTCCTTCAAGGGAAAAGAATAACTCCTCTTCATCCACACACAGTTCAATAGAATTCATGGAAATGTCTGAGAAAGAATTCAGAACATTCATAATGGCAAAACTAACAGAGAAGGAAGAGAAGAGAGACAATGAACTGCTGAAGAGGAAGGAGAAAGAAGTTGTTGAGTTCCAGGAGGTGAGGAAATTCATGCAAG